ACTACACCCTCTGATAAAACTGTCCTACAAGGCTGTCATGCAAATCAATCTATCAATACTATCTACTATTAATTTTCCCTATTTTTCCTTGCTACTTTTCTAAACTAAACACAAGTTGTGAAATTCGGTCATTGTGAAATCAATGCATCATCCATTTTATGACCCATTTCTCACCTAAAAATGAAAAAATATAAATTCTTATGACAGCTGAGGATAACACTATTAACCATTATTTTTTCATTCAAAACCACACAATTCACAAATATTCCAACAGTTTCTGCTAATTTCAGTGCTGAAACTGTGGAAAAGTAATAACTATAGTTATGAATAGGAACATTTGGAGGTAATTGTGATCCATTCAAGTATGTATTGATTGTTGCATATTGTATTAGCTGCTGCTATACACTGAATGCTGAGCTTGTTCAAGATGCTGATGTTTGCAAACATTCGGCAGGATTTATTAGTCAGTTAGGTATAATGTTTCTGTATAATATCTTGTGAGATACCATGTTGTAATGGTAATTATTTTTATATAAAGCAATACATTAACATTACATTCCATTCCACTATATTCCTCTATTAATAGCATACGATCACAAAATTTAAACCTAAACCTTTGAACAGAAAGATTGCCATTGACATTTTATCAAAGTCATCAATTCAATTACCTCAATAGGAAGGTAATGAATTGAGAAGTATTAGAAAAAGCTGCCAATCATAGCAACTAAGAAGCTTTCTGTTTAATATGATAGCAATTGAAAAGCATTTAACCTATAACATATTTGGCAGCTGACATCTAAAGTACAGTAGTGTAAATACATGACTTGTAATGAATCATTAAAATGATCATTTAGAATCTGAGTGATAAATTAAAAGTACATTAGCACTATGCTTTGACAACCAATATTAGGTAATCTAGAAATAAACTGATAAAACACTAAGATGTAGTTTGGTAGCAGAGTGCCTCTAACATTCAGTGGTTTGTGATTCTTGTGAATCAAAAAATAAATATAGAAATTTGAGTGATTCAATTTGGACTGTATAGCAACATTCATTTGGTTTGTCAAGCGCTGGGGAGAGTATGATAGTTGGGTGTCCCCCATTTAGTCAGCATGCGAGGTAATTTATGTACAATTACATCAATAAATTCATTCCTCAATATTAGATTATGAAACACTTCATTGTTAATAACCTTTTTTTTCAGGAGAAAGG